CATGTCTCATCAACAAAAACCCAAACATGTAAGTACTCTCTCTACACGCACACACATTTTTAATATATTAAAAGAATGCACGTGATATTGTTGCTTTGTTTTACTTAAACTTATTTTTATTATTAGATTTATATTTAATAGTGTAATATAATTTTCTTTCCATGTGTATAACCAAAAATGGTGTATTTCAAGATAAACAATAATAAATGTATTGAATAATTAAATATAATATCTATTAATATTAACATAACTTTGTGATAAATAAAATCTATGATCTCTGGAGGGCGCCTATCTTTTGACTATTGTCAATTAATCTCTTCAATCTCTGATTAAATAATAAAACACTGGGTTGAAAATCTAAACTACAATAAATATTTATATTTGTGAAATTTTAAATGCTAAAGAAATCTATGTCGTCTTTAATTTTGCTATTTACTGATATCATTATAATTGCCGTCATAATGTAGTTTTTAATGTCTTCCTTTCGCGTCATACTCTTAGAAAAATAATTTGAACTTGTTATAACTATTATTTGTAAATGTTATTTTTTTATTGTTGATTGAAAACTAACCAACTATGTTTGAATGTTTCGTTCTCTATTAATTTGATTGTAAGTGATTGGAAATTTAATTATATTTGCAAGTATAATATTCCATAATACTTAGATATATATTTTCTCTTTGGATATAATGACATAAGAGATAAGTTAATATTTAAAAATTCCTTTAAAGTCCTAATTACTTATGAAAAAATACTTGAAAAAGATAGGAACAGTAGCATCCTTGATTGATCAAAGATTGTCCAAGATAAATTATTTTTGTACCTCCTAACATTTACATTCATGCATTATCATTTTTGTTCATGGACTTTCAAGACTATCTTAAATGTGGGAAAATAAATAATTCCAATTTAATTGAATTATAAAATGATGATTATTTCATATTTTATTTTTATCTTAATATTATTTTTATATTTTCGTCAATATTTATATATAGTTTATTTTCCCTACTTATGAGAAGTGATTTGAAAAACTTAATTTATTCATGATTTTATAAATAAGATTGGCTAATGATGACAACAATTTTAAAGTAAATGTACTATCTATTTCTGTTTAGTTGATTCTAATTCTAACTTTTCTAATAAGTACATGTATTTTGAAATTCAAAATTTAAAATCGAGTTTTAATTATTTTATTTTATTTTTTACAATTACTCTTATTTTTATGTATATTACAATTAAAGTAAATGGTAGATTAATTTATGTAACACATATTATCATAAAGAACATATATACTATAGATACTATTCATACGTAAGATTAAATCATATTGTGCATATTGTTTTAGTGAATAATTTAATCAAATTATTTCTATTATGATTATATATTCTACACTTAACGAATAACTTTTTTCCACAGAAATTTAACATTTTGTATGTTGAAGAATTATTATTGATTCAATTATTCTTATACATAAGCATGTTCACTTAATTGTTCCTCTTTAATTTTTTAATACTGTAACAAAAAATCTCTATAGTAAACAATATGATATTTGAAAATTAGAGATGATACTTTCATTGGTGCATTACATATTTTACACTAATGAAATAAAACATATTTTATTACAAAATCTTATAGTAAATTTTTTTTCTGACACTTAAAAACTACCTAAAAAATCAAAAATTGAAACCTATCGTCACATGTAGATCTGTTCTAAATAATATAATTCATAATAAATTATTTATTTAAAATCTGTAATTTTGCGTAGATAATCTTTTTGTATATGTAAAAACTTAAAAATAAGGAATTGCATTAATAACCTTAAAACTTATGTTTAGTAAAGACATTCTTGACAATTCAAAAGTTTTAATAAACTACCATTCCTTTTAAGAGAGTCATAGATAAGCGCAATATTAAGTTTACATTTTGATTACAATACTCCTTTGCAGATACATTGATATATCAGGCAACCCCAACCTGTGCACCCCATTTACTTCCCGAAAGGCCTGTTACAAAATATGCAAGAAGTCTCAGAGTCCCTCTCCGTGTTAGGACTTACGGTGCTTTCTCATGATATGCCGGAATACTGTAACTTTGTCGAATAAATGTAACTTTGTCGCTCCTCGTTGTAATACTGTCTCATGTTATAAGACTAAAAAAATAAACATATGAATAAATTTCTTGGTGTCATAATTTAGGCTTATTGGTACCACCTAGTTTATAACTCAACAAATATAGCAACAATATTGCATTTAAATCCTACAAAACTGCAAAATTTCATTAGTAGTGATATAGACACCACCTATCCTAACCTAGAATTTAGGGATTTGAAAATTATTAATATAAAGTTTCTAATAATTCTAAAACAATTATCTGAATCTGTTGGACTTGAACATCACCATGATAAACTTGAAGAAAACAATGAACTCAAAGAATAAAGAAAGCTGCGCAAATGATTGTGATTTGATAGAAATCGTTCACCCCAATCTGTTTACAAGGAAGCTATATATATAGCCAACTAAGAAAGACCTAGATCCTTTAAGGATAATGACTACCTAATGATGAGCTGTAGCTACAAGCCAAACATCCTAACAAACTCAAAAGATGCCAAAACAAAGGAGAGAGAGAGTGTGGTACTACACTGCACACTCGTACGTGCATGAAGAGTGCATGTGGGAAAAATTAACTTAAAGACAAATGATTAAGAAGATGTTATGAGTTAAAAGTGATTAATGAGTAATATCTAACAGTCCCCCCTCAATTCGAGCGAGCTAAGAGGAACAACTTTCAACTTGTTGCGCATGCGAGAGAAGAATTGGCCCGTAAGTGGTTTGGTGAAAGGATCAGCGGCTTGGTCAATGGCTGGAATATGGAGGACTGAAATGAACTTGTTGAGAACCTTTTCACGTATGAAATGAAGGTCAACTTCAATATGCTTTGTCCTTCCTTGTATCACGGGGTTGCAGGCCATAAAAACCGTGCTAAGGTTGTCAACCCAAATAGTAGGAGGAGGAAGCTTCCGAAGATGAAGCTCATGAAGAAGGATCTTGATCCAAATAACCTCTGAAACTGCACTTCCTAAGCTTCTATACTCAGCCTCAGTACTACTTCGAGAAACAGTGTGTTGCTTTCTTAAACTCCATGAGATGAGATTATGGCCAATGAAGACACAATGTCCTGAAGTGGACTTCCTATCATCGGGATCTGAAGCCCAATCGGAGTCAGAGAAGGCTGAGAGGTGGAGGTGTGGTGACCTGACAAAGGAAAGACCATAATCAGCAGTGCCTGCAAGATACCTAAGCAGCCTTTTCATAGCTTTCCAGTGTGGTTCAAGTGGAGATTGCATGAACTGGCTCAGTTTGTTGACTGCATAGGTGATGTCAGGGCGTGTGATGGTCAAGTATTGAAGACTGCCAATGAGCTGCCTATATTGGTAAGGGTCTGGTAGAGGATTGCCATTGAACTTGGACAGGCCAGGTGAACTCGGTGAAGAATTTGGGTAATGTAACTTTGTTGTGTAAGTAACAAACCACTTTTTGTGTGGTGAATCTCCATACCTAGAAAGTGATGTAAGTCTCCCAAATCTTTCAAAGAAAATGCCTTGGATAGAGAACATATAATGGCTGCAATGAGAGAAGTGGAACTCCCTGTGATCAAAATGTCATCTACATAAACAAGGATATAGATGATATGAGAGGTTGAAGCTTGAAAGAAAAGAGAAGTGTCAGCAAGAGATTGCTTGAAACCCAGTGCAATGAGAACATGAGTAAGCTTATCAAACCAGGTCTTAGATGCTTGCTTAAGACCATAAATTGACTTGTGAAGTCTGCAGCCATGTCCAATATGTTTTTGTGTCTCAAAACCTGGTGGCTCCTCCATAAAAATTTCAGTGGATGGGTCAAATTCACCATTCAAGAAAGCATTGTCTACATCTATTTGTTTAATTTGCCAGCCTTTGGCCAAAGCAATGGAGAGAATTAACCTGATTGTCACTGGTTTAATAACTGGATTGAAAACTTCATTGAAGTCCACACCTGCTACTTGAGTATAGCCTTTGGCTACAAGCCTTGCCTTGTATCTAGAGATGGTGCCATCTGCATTATGTTTTACCTTGAATACCCATCTACACCCAATAGGTTTTCTGTCAGGTGGCAAAGGGACAACAGTCCAAGTTTTGTTTTTGAGGAGGGCCTGATATTCAGTCTCCATAGCTTGTCTCTAATGTGGAGTGGAAAGAGCTTCCTCCAGAGAGCTTGGTTCTTCTGTGATGAGAGAAGAGGCATATACCTTAGGTTTGAAGATGCCCCTTTTGGATCTTGTCACCATATGATGAACTGATTGATCTGAGAGATGATTGGCTGGTTGTGGTGTATCAGGGCTGGAAACCTCATTGTTGACAGAGACAGCATGTGATGGGTGTGGTAAGGGTGAGGTTGTATGTTGTGTATGATGAGAATGAGAATGGGAAGGAGAAGAAGAATGTGTTGGTGATGTGTGATGAGGAGTGTGGGAGACAGAATGAGGTGTGTCTTCATTTAGGGTCTGTGATGGTTCATTTAGTGTCTGTGATGGTGCATTTGGTGGCTGTGATGATGATGGAAAAACATGCAAGGGTGGTAGATTAGAAAATTCAGAATTATCATAATGTTGCTCAATTTGCCTTGAAAATTCAGTTTCCTTATAAGGATAACAAGTTTCATCAAAAACCACATTCCTAGAAACAATGATTTTATCATTTAACAGGACCTTATAACCCTTAAACTGAGAGTTGTACCCTAAAAACACCCCTGGTGTGGACCTTAAGTCTAGTTTATCCTTGGCATAAGGTCTCAAATGAGGAAAACACCTGCAGCCAAAAACTCTAAGGTGCTTATAATTGGGAATTAGACCATAAAGTCTGTTATAGGGAGATTGGAAAGAAATGGTTTTGTTAGGTATTCTGTTGATGAGATAAACTGCTGTGGAGAAGGCTTGTTCCCAAAACTTCTTAGGAACATTCGAGACAGACATCATACTCAGAGAAACCTCTATAAGTTGCCTATGTTTTCTCTCAACTAATCCATTTTGTTGGGGAGTGTATGGACATGAGATTCTGTGATGAATTCCCTTTTCTGAAAATAAAGTGGATAAAGGCTTGAATTCAGTGCCACCATCACTTTGAATTGCCTTAATCTTGTTATTCAACTGATTTTCAACCAAATTTTGAAAATGAACAAAGGCTTTATAAGTTTCAGATTTCTGTTTGAGAAAGTATAACCAGGTAAACTTGGTATAATCATCAACAAAGGCTACATAATAAGAGGCTCCTGAGGTTGATTTAATAGGGGCTGGTCCCCAAAGGTCAGTATGTATAAGCTCAAGAGGTTTTTCAGTGCTGTGAATGGAAGTAGAGAAAGGTAAAACATGAGATTTTGCTTGTAAGCAATCTGAACAAAGAACAGTTTTATTATAAGCATATGGCATATTACAAGCATCAAGTGCCTTTCTGGTAACATCAAAGGATGGGTGCCCTAACCTCCTATGCCATAACTCTAGATTCTTAACAGAACTAGCTACATAACTAAACTTCTTGTCACATCTCTCCTTCTCATTCAAAGACTGAAACACAGAAACCTTAGGATCCTTCATTCTCATCTTGAAAGTGTATAATCCATCTTTAAGAATTCCCTTGAGAAGAGGTGTTCCTGTTTGCTGGTCCTTCACAACACAAAAAGTGGCAAAGAATTCAAAGAAAACATGATTATCTTTGGCAAACTGAGCAACACTAATCAAATTCTTAGCTATTTCAGGAACATGAAGAAGGTTATTTAATTTGAAAGTATTCTGTGAGTTTGTGAGTAGTGTTTTACCAACATGAGATATATCCAATCCTGATCCATTACCAATCTGAAGTTTGTTGTTTCCAGTGTAATCAGAAGCCACACTCAAATTGGAAAAATCATTGGTTATGTGATGAGAAGCTCCTGAATCTGGGAACCAATCACTCTCACTTTGACTGCTTCCTGTTGCATACATGGCTGAGGTTTGTCCAATGCTCCTGTTGTCATTAAAGCTCCTCTGATTTGTGTTACTGGGAACAAACTCAGTGTTGAATCTATTGTAGCACTTATCAGCTGTGTGATTGGTGTACCCACAGATTTGGCATTGGACTTTATTTTGGAAATTTCTTCCACCTCTTCCTCTTCCACCTCTACCTCTGCCTCTGTAATTTCCTCTTCCCCTTTGATTGCTGAAGCTTTGTTGAGGTTTGTTGGTCTGAGAAGCCATATTTGCAGAAGGTAAGTTGACATTTTCTGAAATTACTGCAGCTGCCTCAAGCCTGCTCTCATAAGTGAGCAAAAGGGACATGACATCCACCATAGTAAGATTCTCTGGTCTGGCATTGATGCTCACCACTACAGCATCATACTCTGAACTCAAACCACTTAGAATGTGCATAATTTGGTCTTTCTCTGAAATGATATGGCCTCCTGCTGCTAAGGTGTCACAGCATACCTTGATCTTGTTCACATATTCCCTTATGCTGAGATTTCCTTTCTTGAGGTTTTGAAGTTGGATTCTGTAGTGCATTGTCCTTGCTTTGGATCTTGTCGAAAAGGATGCTTCAAGGGCTTTCCAGATCTCATGGGAACTGTTCAATCCAATCACCGAGATTAAGATGGACTCTGATAGAGATGAGAGTATCCATGAGGCCAAGAGCTGGTCTTGCCTCTGCCAGCTGACATAGCTTGGATTTGTTTGAAGAAGTCCCTCCTCTGGTCCTGGGATAAATCTGGTGGGTTGAACATCAGATCCATCGAGAAAACCCTCTAATCCATATCCTCTTACTGTTGTGAGGACTTGCTGCCGCCATAGAAGGTGATTCTCATCTGAAAGCTTGATACAGAGGAGTTGGTTATGGAGAGCTACAGGTTGGGGAGAAGATGTTGGGTGGATATTTAGAGAGGTAGAGGATGTTTCTGCCATGGCTCGAGAAACAGGAATAGTGGTGATCTATCCCTGCTCTGATACCATGTTGGACTTGAACATCACCATGATAAACGTGAAGAAAACAATGAACTCAAAGAATAAAGAAAGCTGCGCAAATGATCGTGATTTGATAGAAATCGTTCACCCCAATCTGTTTACAAGGAAGCTATATATATAGCCAACTAAGAAAGACCTAGATCCTTTAAGGATAATGACTTCCTAATGATGAGCTGTAGCTACAAGCCAAACATCCTAACAAACTCAAAAGATGCCAAAACAAAGGAGAGAGAGAGTGTGGTACTACACTGCACACTAGTACGTGCATGAAGAGTGCATGTGGGAAAAATTAACTTAAAGACAAATGATTAAGAAGATGTTATGAGTTAAAAGTGATTAATGAATAATATCTAACAGAATCCACGATACTCCGTTGACAGCGCAATGCAGAATGCCAAGATAACTTTTGAATATTGTTGTACTTAAATTTTTTGAAGTCGTCAGTTTATCATTTGAGGTGTATATAATCATACTCTTTATTGGGCCTACACCATCACGAGCCCAGAATTTAAGATGAAGTATCGGAAGACACGCACCAGCACACAAATTCAATGTCGATCTTTTTCCCATTCAAGTGTCGATCCCTGAACTGATGCTGGAGTGTTGACCTACCAAACCAGTCGAAACAAAAACTTAAAAAGTATTTGCGAAATATTTTTACTGCCCACAAGTGTACGGTGCAGCTATAGTAAGCGGCGAGTAAGGTCATATTCTACAGAGATTGTCGTTAAAGTAATTAATTATGAAAATACAGACGATCAAAAATATTATTTTTACTAAAGCAAATTGGGATGAAGTTCTAAATCTAAATTAATGAATAATGGTAAATTAATTTTAAAAACCAATGAAGGCTTGTCCTAAAATATGAATAAATGAATGAGACAGTTAAATTCTAGGCTAAGTTTTTCTCGAATTTATTCTACAAAATATTTTCTATTCATTAAAATCTTGTTTAACTCTACCAATCGTAGGGATAATCACGAAATTAATCTAATATCTCACTCAAGCAAGTTAAATCACTGATATATCTCATCTTTGTCTCAAAGATGAACAATTAACTCTCTTAGTTCCTCTTATTCTAATGTGATACAAAAATTAGTAATTTATAAAATGTTACAAGATCTATTTACCAAATGTCATAGGGTGATCGATTTGGGTCTATAAATGGGGTGAGAAAATACATAAAACTCCGCAACAACAACTTATCCTTTTTATATCATTTGTATTTTCTGTAAGTTGGAGAGGATGATGGACAAAATTGGAGTGGTGTTATGGTTGATCTTCATTGTGAACCCTTTTAAAGGTGTCCATAGTAATACTGAAGGTATGTAATCCTTTTATGTTATAATGTATTAGATTGTTTCTGGTAAACACATAAGTTGGCATGTATATATGTATATATTTAGTTATATAATAATTAATTTGTATTCAAATAAATTTGTTTCCATAAAATAATAATAATAATAATAATAATAATAATAATAATAATAATAATAATAATAGACTTTTTAAATGAATTAAGTTATCAGCTATCAACTAAATCTAAAAGCTCAAAAGAAGTGCAATACTTTCTTTTAGCATAAATGTGCAATTGAATAATATTTGGTAAGAATAATTGCTGTCTGAAATTCCAATGGTTTTATTTGATAGGTGACTCCTTATATAAACTTAGGCAAAGCTTAAAGGATCCGAGAGGTGCAATGTCGAGCTGGGACCCTACACTTGTCAATCCTTGTACATGGGAGCATATCACCTGCGTGAATAATGCTGTCACAAGAATGTAAGCACACGACTTAGTATATATATTTATCTTCCCGTTTTTATATTTCCTGTTAACTGCATCAATTATACTTGAGTTGACTCAAGTGTTAATTGCATCTATTACCGGAAGACTAAATAATGATAATTCTCTTTCGTGGATTTACTACTCTCCTCCTATGTCCTATGTGTTTTTGTATATAGTGTTGGAAGCAAACACACAGGTTACACAGGTTGAGGATCCTACGCCATCATATGGTTACGAGGGAATGTTTGGTGGTGAGGGTACATGGACTACGCATGCCGGTAATTTTGGTGAAGGGACGAGTAATTTCGGCGAAGGGACGACTAATTTCGGCGAAGGAACGAGCTTTACCATGAGAGGACCAGACATTGAGGAAGAAATTGTTGGAGATGAAGATTTCATTCCCGGTGAAGACGATTTCACGGATGAGACCTCGAAAACCGAATCGGACAGATCAATTAATGAGGAGAGCGAACAAGAATTCATTAAAGAACACCCCTTTCCAAATGAAGGCCTCTATGATTATCGCGAGATGGGTGAGTGGGACTCGTCGTGTGTAGACAGGGACGAGTATGCCTTGCCAGTCTGGGATGGGCGTGCCGACACTATCCGTTTGGGTACAGTTTTTCGTACTAAGGAAGAAGCCCGGACTGGTATTATGGCCTAAAATGTTGAGAATCTTAGGGCGGTCCGGACAAAAGATTCCAACAAGAAGTCGTTCAAAGTTGTGTGCAGATCAGCTGAAGTTGTACCATGTATATGGAAGTCTCGGGTGAGTCTTAACAAACGGGATCACGACATGTGGGAGGTAACCGAATGGACCAATAGCCACACTTGCATGCAGATGTTCGAGAAAAATGACCACAAGAATGTGACCGCCACCATGATCTCAAATCTTCTGTTGGCTAAGATTCAGAAGTAGGTGACCTACAGTGTGAAAATGGTCCAGGCCGACGTAAAAAGTGCCTGAGGCGTCGATGTCAGCTACAAGAAGGCGTGGCACGGGAGAAAAAAAGCCATTGATCGTCTGCATGGCACGTGGGAATCGAACTTCGCACAACTCCCCCAGTAAGCAAAAATTAATTATAAACGTATTTACATGTTGTTTGTAACTATATTTATTTATTTATTTATGGTTAACTTTTATAATTTGCAGGTTTTTCGCCGCCCTTCAAAAGGCGAATCCCGGTACAATCGTTGAGTGGGAATGGCAGGGTGGGGAAATTGCGAAGCAATCTCGAGACAGAGAATTCAGATTTGTCTTCTGGGCGTTCGGCCACGCCATTCAAACTTTCCTTCGTCGCCCGCCGATTACTAGCATCGACGGCACGCACCTGCGAGGTTCGTACAAGGGGAAACTACTTGTTAATTGCAAATTAATATTTTATTTTCTAATTTACAATAGAGTCTGATAGAAAAACATATGTCCAACTGAGCAGGTTCGTACAAGGGAAAGCTGCTTGTTGCCATAGCACAGACCGCGAATAAGCGTCTATTGCCAGTCGCGTATGTGATTGTGGACGAAGAAAGCACGGCTAGCTGGTCCTTTTTCCTAACACATCTGCACCATCATGTCGTCCCCGACAGACCGATATGTCTTCTTTCCGACAGGGACAACGGCATATTGAGTGCCGTTGAATTACTGGAGACTTGGCACGAACCCCATGCATTTCATCGGATATGCCTTCGACACCTCCGAAGCAACGTGTTTTCAAGGTACCAGAATAAGAAAGTCTGGGGTTTGTGTTGGAGGTTGGGTTCACTGTGTTCTCGCAGCAAATTTGAGCAGAGTCGACAGGAACTCCATGAATGTAACCCGGACGCATACGATTACCTTTTAAAAATTCCTCTGGAAAAGTGAACCCTGTACAAAGATGGAGGACAGTAAGAATATTCAATGACCAGTAGGACTCTGAGCAGAGGGGTACATTGAGTGGTATCGCAGTAGGACTGTGAGACTATTCAATGACCCCAACAACTACTCGGCGATCTCACAGGACGGCGGGTTTCAGCCATATGCCGACCGGGAGAAGTGTCAAGTAAGTGTCTGCTAATTTGTGATTTTTATTATTATTATTATTATTATTATTGAAGTAATTATTATTATTATTATTATTTAATATTTGATAGTTATTTGAATTTTATTTTGCAGAATTCGGGTACGGAGGGGGCGTATAACATGCTATCGAACATTGAAGACATTGATACGCTACCTCCCCGAGCGCAGTCACAGTTCCAGCAAGCCCAGGAACTTCTGTACGCTTCTCTGACTGTTGGGGGTCAGTCGGTCACACAAGGGGCGTCATCGGAGCAAATTCTATCTCAAAAGGAGTATGCCCCACCCCAGCATACACAGTCCCAGCGGGCGAGGCATAGACCGGCGCCCCACATTGGTGGAGGGAGAAGACGCCGTGACCGCGAACCCGCCCGGAATGAAGAAGACGAAGAAGGTGAGATTTTTTTATTTAACTACAAATATATTTTTTTTTTCAATTAATACTACAATAACAAAAAAAAAAATCACCAATTCTTTTATAAAATAACTCTCCAAAACCCTAATTCTCATAGTCCAACCATACAATACAAATCATCCAATTTTCACAAAAATTCTCAACATACACCGAAACCCATCATCCAAGAACAATGTATAATCATT